TATTTGAAAAATTTTATAAACTGTTAAATATTCAAAAAGATATATTTTTAATATAATTGTATTTTTATAAAAAAAATATTTTTAAAATTTTAATTATTTATATTTTAAACTTTTAATTTAAGGATATTATTAAACTAAAAATAAAATTACAATCAAATATTAAATTATTTATATTTTACAATCTATTTTAAAATCTTATAAATCATATTTAATAATTTTAATCTAATTTTAAAGATTAAAAATTTAAATTTAATATTTTAATTATAATTTAAAATTTTAATTAAATATAACATATAAATTAAAATAATAAATACAATTATATTTTGTATTTTTTCTCAAAAATATAATATATATAGATTATTTATTATTATTATTATTATTATTATTATTATTATTATTATTAAGAATTAAATCATTATAGTTGAAAAGTATTTAAAAAATATTTATGCTTATTTCAAAAGCCACCGTCTTTTAAAAAATATATTTTTCAATTTCAAAAGTTATTTTTATTTTTGAATAAAAATCAATACAAACATGTACAAAACAATTTTTTTTTTTTTAAAATAAAAACCAAAAGTTAAAGGTAGCAATTCAAACTGGCTCATTTTTTTGTGTCGGGCTGACCCGACCCAGTTTGGAAGCGGGCCGGATAGGCATGGCCCAATTTCAAATTGGGCCTGGACAACTCGGCCGGAGCACGACCCACAACTATATCTACACAACATAGGAATTTTATCATCAAATCATTGTCTAATTTGTGTTATTATTTTATTAGTTAATATATATATATATATATTAAGTACTTCATTCATCCCAATTAATTTGTCCACTGTAGCACGGAGTTTTCGGTATTATCTACTTAGTAAGTAGTTAAAAAAATGTATTAGTAAAAATAATTATAATATAATAAAAAGAATTATAAATTAAGATTAAGATGACTAAATAATTTAATTAAAATAAAAAATTATAAATTATGAATTTTAAAATGTAATTAAAGTGTATAATTATATTTTTTTTTAAAAAAAAAAATTATGTTGGAACGAAAAAAAATAGAAATAGTGGACAAATTACATGAGACATATGAAGTATTATATATTATTTGTAATAGATCGGGTCGGGCCAAGCATGACCCCTTTATTAGTGTGTCGAGCTAGACACGGTTCGAAAATTTTCAGGGCTATTTTTTTAGGTCCAAGCACTTTTTTTTTTTTTTTTTTTTGTGTCAAGTTCGAATCAAATTTTCGGACCGTGTCTATTTTTGACAATTCTATCAAAAAGTCACTCTCAAAGTCAATCCAAATAGATATAATTATTTTTTTAAAAAATAAATACATTTCGAGCGAAGGACTAATATTAAAATTATGAATTTGTTTAATTTTGATTTAAAATTAAATTTTAATTTAAATAATATTTAAATTTAATATTTTAAAAATGAAATAATATTTTTTGTCTTCGGGCTAAATTGTCCACGTTATTATAGATATGAGTGTTTAGCTCAATATAATTAGTAATTAATTTAAAAATATATTAATAAAAATAATTATAAATGAAGTTAAAATTAAATAATTTAATTAAAATTAAAAAATATAAATTATATTTTCATTAAAAAAATAAATTATGTAAGGTGACCAAAATTAAAAAAAATTAAACATTTTAAATGAAATAAAAATAATTATTAAAAAACGTACGAAGTAAGGGTGTTTCAGAGTTTGAATTTTAATTTCAAATTTAAATAATAAAAATTTTAAATTTAAATAATTGTATATTATAATATTTAATTATAAAATTAATTTTTAATATAATATATAAATTAAAATATAAATATTTAATTTGATATTTTTTTAAAATAAAAGAAAATTGATAAACAATAAGAAAGTGACAAAATTCTTTTGAAAAGAACACACTCTAAATAAGTAATGTACTCGGACCAAACACTAGTTTTACAACTTATTGAATATAATCCTCCATCTATTTTAATACAATAGTTTTATTTATTATTTTTGTCCGTCCCAAGATAATAGTCTTATTTTCATAAATAATCATATCACTATAAAACTATTCCTATTTTTTATTATTATTACACAATTGTCACTACTTTTTACACTAATATACTCACAAGAACAAAAAAGTCATTTATATTTACTTTCTATCAATTATTAATATAATACCAATATTTCTTAAATATCGTGCCAAACACAATTTTGTTTGGGAGATTGGATTTTGAGTTGGGATTTGAATAGTAAAAATTTTGAATTTGAAGAGTTGTATGATGTGATATAAATAGGTGTTGATGTGATATTTTGAATGTAAAATTGATTTTTGGTATAATATAAAAAATAAAGAATAGGTGTTTTGATTTGACGTTTTTTAAGGAAAAAAAATACTCCATCTGTCCCGAAACTAAATATCTATTTGCTTTTTACAAGTAGTTTTAGAAATATTAGTATTATATTGGAATATAGTATGAATAAAATAGAAATGACTAAAATACCCTTATTAGTATGTATGATATAAAGGTAATGACATTTGTGTAATATATTGTAAGTTGTAAGGATATTTCTAATGTTAGATAGATAATACAGTTACTAAAAAAAATAAATACTTTATTATGGGAGAAATTAAAATAAAAAAATAAATACTTTATTATGAGACGAAAAAAGTAGGATGAATAGTGGATTGAAAATCCAATCTCCCAAATAAACACACCCTAAGAATATACTTTTGTAACGGAGGAAATATATATTTATAATAGTATTAATAAGGGTGGCGGGAGGTGGAGTCCCACATGAATAAATGCAGGCGTAGGGGTAGGGGAGTTTGGTTGAGATGATATGAATTACGGTTAGGTAATTTAATTGAGGGTGGGGCCCGGGGAGAGTAGGGGCAGTTCAGTCATTTTAGGATTGGGCGGGAATGGATTCTTCTTATCCATCCAGTGGGGCCCACCTAAAAAACTTTTCAATCATATCTCTTACCAAATTCGTTAACCAATTTCACCTGCCCTGCTTTTGCTATCGTGCGCCTCTACCTTTCTCTCTCTCTCTCTAACTTTCACTCTCTCTCACTCATCCCCAACTGCCTGCCTGCATCCTCTCCACAACTTCGTCCTTATCTACTTCTGTGGAATTAAAATAATTATGTAAGTGCGTTTGCCTATAAAAAAAATTAAAAATAATGATATAAAATAATATATATATATATATATATTTTTGGTTTCATTTTAGGGTGTGTTTATTTGGGGGTTTGAATTTTGAGTTGGAATTTTGAATAGTAAAAATTTTGAATTTGAATAGTTGTATGATGTGATATAAATAGATGTTGATGTAATGTTTTGAATGTAAAATTGATTTTTAGTATAATATAAAAAATAAAAAATAGATGTTTGATTTGATGTTTTTAGGGAAAAAAAATAGGATGAATAGTGAATTTAAAATCCAATCCCCCAAACAAACACACCCTAATTGATTTTGTTTTTCTTTTTTTTTTTTCTATGTATTTGTTTGGGGGGTTTAGATTTTGAGTTGCGATTTGAATAATAAAAATTTTGAAGTTAAATAGTTGTATAGTGTGATATAAATAGGTGTTGATACAGTATCTGCAGTTCCACATCTAATGTCATTTTTTTTTTTAAAAAAAATAATATACACTTTAATCTTATTTAAAAATTTTAATTTTAATTATTAATTATTTTAATTTTAATTTAATTTATAATTATTTATATTATAAAATAATTATTTTTACTAATATATTTATAATTATTTATTAATTATATTTATCATAAATTTTCGTGTTTATAGTAATTTAGACATGCAAAGTGTTATTGAGGAAGTAGCTTCTAATAAAGCTAAATAGATAATGTATTGCTAATGCCAAGAAAAAAAAAAGAAATGTAATTGATAAATAAGAAGAAAATAATGGCTTGTATAAAAGAAAATTTTGGTGAAATAAAAATAAAAAAAAATATTACTCCCTTTGTCTCAAATAAAGGTGCAATATTTGTTTTTGACACAGATTTTTAGGTGAGTAGTATTAAATATGATAATTTAGAAATTATGTGATATGATCGAGAGATAAATATATATTTTATTTTTTTATTTGGATGATATGATGAGATAAAGTTTGGGGTGGAGATTAAATATAATTAATTATTTCCTATTTTGAAAATGTTGCAGGGTGTTTGGGATATACTAAAAAGATAAAATTGCAGGATATTTGGGACGGAGAGAATACCATATTTAGTTAGTAGTTTTAAAATATTTTAATAATTTACGTTCTATCCTAGATGATTTTTTTTTTCAATGTGTCTTTTTTTTTATTTTTAATAAATTTATTTATTTTAAATATATTTAATAATTATAAATGAATTTAATAACTTTTTAACTTTTATAAGTTTGGTCCACTTGTAAATCTTTTATTTTTATCTCTCTTTATCTTCGGTAAACAAATATTTTTATCTATATTTAAAATGTTTCATCTTTTATAAAATTAGTTTTAAATTAATTATAAATATATATTCTTTATTTATTTGTATTATATAAAATTTAATTATTTATAAAAAAAAATATTCATATTGTATATGTATTATTGAAGTATAATCCAAAAAATAATTAAAACACCAATAATACTATTCATATAAAAATAATAAAATAATATCATAAATAATTATTTATAACTTACTAATCTACAGTACCTAAAATACCGTGTCCTTAACTAAAGAGGTCATCCTTGCTGGAACGGAGAGACTATAGTAATATTTTATAATATTTAAATAGGGGTGGGATTGCATGCTGAAAATTAAACATAAGCATTATGCTGATTGTATATTAGCCATTGGATTAAATTTTTTAATCCAATGGCTAATATTAGATTAAGGGTGTAATTGTAATTTTAATAACCCTAATTTATGTAACTACATCAAATATCACCCTCCTTCATTCTTTCACGCAGCAATCGGTGGGGAGAAACGTCATTATTCATTCTTCACGCTCCTTTATTCTTCAATGGCTGATATCAACGAAGGGGAGCAGAATCAATTATCCATTATTCCAACCTCATTCAACCGCTCAACAAGGAATGGAAACATCGAAGAGATTGCAATTTCGGATGATCCAGCGCCTTCGCCAGTACCAGACGTGTTGGAACGGGAAATCGCTCAATCTCGTAAGTTACGCATCGAAAATTGACTTGAAATCGTGAACATCGTATCTTCTGTGATCAATTTCATTGAAATTATATTATGCTGTTCAGCGGATTGGAATTTCGTAAATATATTTTAGCATTCACAATTTAATAAGAGCATTAGTTACCAACATGATATGTGATTGTATTTGATACAGATATCAGCATCTTGCCATTTATCTGAAAGCATATTGAAATATAGTGGTCAACATTTTGATTAACAGAATTTAGCATTCCATGTGTGCAGAGTCCATAGATTGGCATGCAATAGAATTTACAAAATCGGATGATGCATACAATTTCTATTGTGAATATGCACACAATAGGGATTTTTCAGTAAGGATAAAAATTCAAAAAAAATTCAAAAAAGATTGCACCAGATACAATACATGGAGTATTGTTGCAACAAAGCAGAGTTCAAAGAGAGTAGCAATGTGAAACCAAACAATCTTGAGATTCATCCAAAACAATGCAACGAGTTAAGAAGGATCAAAACCATGCATCATAGTCATGAAACGGGAACAGACTGTAATTCAAAGATACAACTTCAATTTGACAAGAAGAATGCAAAGTACAAGTGACATACTTTAAAGACAACCACAATCATGATCTACATCCTACAAAACACAAGCACATGTTTGTATCCAATCATAGGATTAATACATCACATTTAATCATTGTGAATACAAATCAAGAAGTCGGACTACCAATCAGATCATCGTATGATTTGTGAAAATAGTTGTCGGAGGAAAGAAAAATGTGAATATGCTTCTTTACTTGGCTCATCTGCTCAAATTAATAGATTAGTATGCTGAGTGTATTCTTCATATTATATGTTGAATGAACGTGAATATGCTGAGTAGGTTTTTACAACCAGACAGTAATATTGTTCAATTTCTTTATCAATTTCTGAATATGCTGAGCAGGTTTTTACAGTCAGACAGTAATATTGCTTTATTTTTTTTATTCTTTTTTATCAATTTCAAAGAGTGGTGGAGAATCATAGAGAAAAAAAAGGAACAATAAGATTTTTTCGCACGAGATAGACGACTGGTTGCAAATCATATGTTTAACTCATTGACGAAATCTGCAGCTATATTTTACACACCGAATGTCTTTCAATGATTTCAGGAGCAACACCAAAGATCCTTTGAATTCATAACACAATACTTAGATGAAAAGACAACATATCTTATTTATAACATGGAGAAGACATGCGATCAACATCTTGTGCGCGTAAATATTCAAGAATCTTCAATTGAGTGCACGTGCAATATATAGAAAAACTCTAGAATGTTGTGTTGTCATTCAATACACACGATGGATGTATTAGCAGAAACAGGGTGTGCACAGTTCAAAAACATCCCAAACAAATACATATTGAATCGATGGAGAAAAGATGCTAGGAAGATGTTACAGTAGCACCACACAAGCTTAACATCTAGTCGAGAGGAAATAGATTTTTCAGGAAGATACATATCATTGTGCCACTTTTTCATGAATTCTGCAAAGTTAATAGCATCTGAGCCGAAGAATTACAGTTCATTTTTACATAAATTCAATGAATTGCTTCACAACATAGTTACATGCCCAAATCTCTATGGAGGAATGCCGACGGATGAAAATAACATTTACGTTTTGTATATATTTTATATTCATTGAAATATATATGATATTAAATTAATCGATTTTTCATGCTACAGGAGAAGTACAAAATATAACCACTGTTGACCATTTCATATTGAAGCCAAGTGACAATCCAAAAGGAAAAATTAAAAGAAAAATGTCAATCAGCAACTCTAAGAGACAAAAGAAACATCAAATGATGAATAAGAAAGATAACCAGCAGGATAAATCCAAAAAAAAAAATGATTTTCTGTCAATTCATATATGATATAGCTGCAAAGTATTGTGAATAATTGATATTAAGCACTTACATATACAAGACCAAACATTTTGTCGAATACCAATAAACATCTTATTGAGTATCAATAAGCATTTTCTACAATTATGTTTAGGATGTCAATGAACTATCAAATGATATGAATGTTAATCGAGAAAATGCTGCAAAATTAATTGTCAATTTAAAAAATTATTCTTGAAATCATGCAACTTTTTTTTTAAAAAAAAACTTGTTTCTGCGAGCTCATGGAAACCAAGCTTGTTTCCGCGGAAAGTAGCCAACTTTTACAAAAAAAATCTGTTTCTAGCGAAAACAAGGTTTGTTTCTGCTAGCTCGCTGAAATAGACCTTGTTTCCGCTAGAAACCTGCCAACATTTATATATACTAAGTCAAGCATTTTACTATGTATCGGTCAACATCTTGTGTTTTAACAAGAAGCATGAGTATTAAGCAGTAATTGTTGCCAACATACAGTCAATAGATCAATCACCAATTAAAATTCAATCCATCGATCAACACCAACAATCTATTCAAGTTAAATCGATCGATCAATACCAACAATCTCTTCAAATTCAATTCATCAAAATCAACAAATCAATCAACACACTTAATTTTTGTCTTGTCCACGACCTCGTCTTCGCCCTAAACATTTACCCTAAACTGCACAATGGAAAAAACAAAACTCAAAATAGGTAACATGGAAGAAGATGAACATTTATCCTAAACTGGACAATGGAAAAAACAGTACTTACCAAAAATCGCCTCCATGGACGCGCCTAGTGTCGTTGATTTGAAGGACGGTACAGAGAGTTGAAGAAGACAAATTGGAGACGACGCGCGAGGGAAGGGTTTTGTTGAAGAAGGCGATTTGAAGACGAAATGGAGAAAAAACGAACGTGATGGAGGATTTCCGTTGAAGAAGACGATTTGAAGACGGAATAGAGAATAAGCTAGCGCGATGGAGGATTTTTGTTGAAGAAAACGATTTGAAGGGGGAAGATTAACGATTTGAAGACGAAGAGTTCATATACACCTATAAGTCTTTAAAATAAAATTACTATATTACCCCTGCGTGATCTAAACCATTCATCATAATCTAATTATGATGAACGGTTCTGATTGGATCAGCACCAGATCCGCTTCCATTTAAATAACATATTTTTTTAAAAAAAATTATAAAGTTTATAATAGAAAATGATGAAAAAGATCAAATAAATTGTTATTTTTTATTTTTTTGCACATGTTTTCATTTTATTTTTTTTAATTTGCATATTGAAGATACATTAAAATAAGAAATGTTTGAATTCTCTTACTCAAATAAATAAGAAAGGTAAATAATATATATATATTTTTTTATGTGATAGTCTGAACAAAAAATAATATTTTTTATTGAAAATTATATAAAGCGAATATTATTAGTTTTAGTTTGAAATGAAAGAAAACAAACTTTTGGTGTGTTTGTTTTGTATTTTGGTTTAAGGAAAATTTTGTAATGTGATGTATAGAAAAGTGTGTATGTAATAAAAATAAGGTAAAATTGCTTGTAACTCCCATGTGGTTTTAAAATTTAGCATAAAATCTCCCTGTACTTTAAAAATTGCATGGTACCCCCTTATACTTTTAAAAACGTTGCATGAAACCCCACCACCATGAAACTTTCCTCGTGTGATAAGAAAATGATTTCCTATCTATATGTTTTGCATGGCAGGGGGTTTTATGCAATATTTTTGAAAGTATAAGTGAGTGTTATGCAATTTTTTAAAAGTAAATGGGGATTTATGCTGAGTTTCGAAACCACAAAAGTGGTTTCATGCACATTGTTTAAAGTATAAGGGGACGTCATGCAATTTTTAAAGTAGAGGAGAAATTTACGCTGAGTTTCGAAACCACAAGGGAGTTATGGACAATTTTGCCTAAAAATAATGGTTGTGTTCTTTTGTAAGTTTATCACAAGTTTTTATTATTCAAATTTTTTGTTCTCTAAAAATATCACATCAAACAATTACTTTTTTCTTATATTATACTACAAATTTATTTTACATTCAAAATATCATATCAACTTCTATTTATATCACATCAAACAATTATTTTTTTCTTATATTATACTACAAATTTATTTTATATTCAAAATATCGTATCAACCTCTATTTATATTACATCAAACAACTATTCAAATTCGATTCTTTACTATTAAAAAATTCAAACCCAAAAATTAAAACCCACGGACAAACACACTCAATGAGTGTGTGTAGTATATTATTTTTTTGGAGAAATGTGTTGATTTGTTTAAAGAAAAGACTAGTATTAATTTATATTGGCTAAAAATACATCTTTTGTTCCTTTTATTTACTAACATACCAATTTTATTCTCTCTATCTTTTTAAAATAACAAATTTGGTGTTTTATTTGTTAAATTAATTCACTTTTAGTCCTTAATCATTGTTTCAATAAAAAATAAAAAATATAATTATTAATACTTTTGTCTCATAGAAATATAAAAAACTTTGTCTTTAATAAAAAATCATAAGTAAAAAAAATACACACAATATTAAAATTCATCCTGATTATTATTTATAACGGAGGTGATGTATAATTTTCATCGGAAAATGCCATTCTTATTTATTATTTATATTAATTTATATTATTATTATTTTTTAAATATCTCACGCAAATATTTTATTTTAAATAAGTCCTTCAAAATAAATTTGAACACCCAATTTAAAAATAATTTGTTTAAAACAGTATAGTTGCTAACTAGTAGCTACTTGTTTGTCTTAATTAAATTGTTGGTATAAAAAAGCGAAATATATATATAATTTTCTTTTTGTGGATATGAGCATTGTATTAAATATAGTGACATATATATTTTTGATTAATAGATACCGTAAGGAGAATAATTTCTGTGAAAACGATTTTTTAAGGATATTCTATTTGTATGACAATGCATATAACTAGTATATCTATTATTTTTTCGAGAAAATAATAATTAAAGACTAAATCTAACAATATTAATTGATAATTGATCAAAATTGTCATTTGAAAAATTGAGGGCTAAAATTGATGCAAATATAAATAAAAAAATCAAAATCATCATTTTAATAATATATAAACTAAAATTGTTATAGATATAAATAAAAATAAACCAAAAATGTATTTTACCCATTTATATTTTACCAAAAACGGAATTAAAGATGAAATTACTTTAGCTACGTGAACTTTAAGAATAAAATTCCGTTACAAATATACTATTTTTTGTAGTGATAGAATACTAGTATTATATTTTGAGAGTACAATTATTAAAGTAATATTATATTTATGAAAAAATAATAGCGATATTGTAATATAATACGTAAAATATAATAATTTTAAAAATTATATAAAAAATATAACTACTAAAAAAAGATAGAATAATTTTCGAAGAATTATTTGATTTTGTTCACAAAATATATATATTTTTTTATCACAACAATGTCTAATATCAATAATATATATTCTATTTTCTCATATAAAGTAAATATTAAAAAAATATTAGGGTTTGTTCTTTCACCATTTTTCTTCAATACTATTTAATATATATATATATATACTATATTGTTATTTAAAAAAAAAATCCATCTTTTAACATAAAATATTTTTTTATATTATTTATACAACTATCTATATATCATATAAAAATAATATACATCAAACTAAAACACTAAACAAACAAACAATTTTTCATATTTCACATAAAATAACATAAAACTAAAAACTAAACAATTTTTGCAATTTACTCGTTTATCTCTCATATGCAAAAAAATAGAGAACAATAAAATTTTTTGAAGTGCAAGTATGTTTATTTATTTATTTAACTTTTACAATATAGTCTGTATTTATTTGCTATATTTTTTTTTTCATATTATTTAGTAATTTTTTATATTATTTCAATATCATAAAATATCACATTTTATCACATTTAATTGTTTTTAAAATAAATTATCAAATTAAATGATTAAATAAATATAATAATAATTCTTTTATCCAATTTATTATTTTCTAGTGATCGATTCAGTTTTATCAACCAGCAATGTCCTCTATTTATACATATAGTTAGTTGTATTTCTTTTATATTTTTCAACTGATTAATTTGTTTTACTAAATAAAATAATTAATTTTTTTTTCTACTAAATTCTTTTTTCCTACAATTTTTATTTTGTACTATTATTATTTTTTTAAATTTTATTCTTTGTATCAAGTGCACCCATACAGATAAACGAAAGTAAAAAAATAAAAATATTTTGTTTAAGATAAGAAATAAAAATGTCTCTATTATCTTCTTTGTTTGAATCATATAATAAAACTTAAAAAATAAATTATTTTTATTATTTTGCTTTCATTTTTCTTTCATATATATAGAGAAATTGAGTAATTGAATACCGACAAATTATGAAATGTGTTTACTAATTTGTAAATTTTTTTTTGGTACTATTTAATTTTTATAATATTCTTTATAAAAAGTACATTATTTTGATTTTACAAAACATCACATCTAATTTTTATTCAAATATTTATTATTTTTTATATATTTTCTTTAAAAAAATTACACGAATCCGATCTGATATCATATCTAATTTATTATTCAAATGCTCGCTCACTAAAATATTTTTTTACCTGATTGGTCGTTTTTTTCTTGTTTGATTCATCCATATATATCACTATATTTTTTTACAATTTTCAAATGAATTCTATGTTATACCAAACTGTAACACCCCAGATCGCAAGTCACGCTGACCGGGCATGTCGGGATTAGACTGATTCCACAAGTCAACACGAGTCTTTCCAACACACTTTGTTCTCATTTATCCGCGCTTTGGAAGACTTCCAAAACTTTAGAGTTTCTTCAAGTGGGCTCCCGAAAATGAATGTATACATTGTTAATTGACATGAGTAATATATTCAATCCGCCCATCCATTTACGGGAATCGGCTTAGCACCGGCCCAACTCTGGGGTATCATATCCTTCATCACTTAGGAATGCAACGTCCACGTTGCAACTCAATGATCCATCAACTACTAAGCCCTTCAATAATCCAGTCAACGACTATAGGCTGTCGTATGTTGGATTTGATACCAACTGTAACACTGCGGCCCGCAAGCCATGCTGGCCGGACGTGTTGGGATTAGATTAGCCTCGCAGGTCAACACAAGTCATTTCGGCGATCTTTCTCCTTCCTCCTTCCAATGCGCTTTGTTCTCACTCACGCGCACCCTCGGAGACTTCACAGCTGTGATTCATCTATCCTAAAATTACCTTAGAGCAAATATATTTAACTTTAGAGTTTTTCCAAATGGATTCTCGAAAGAGAATATGCATATTGTTGACATGAATAGTCTATTCAATTTCGAATGGCCTAGCACTGGCTCATCCACATACAGGAGTTGGCTTAGTACCAATCCAAATTCCGGGGTATCACACAATTACAAAGAAAATAATTCTAATTCTCTACTGAATTCATCTTCGATTGAATTCTATCATCTGATATTATTTATCTGCAATTTCATTATGGGTACGAAACACATCCTAAGAGTTTTTTTTATTTCAAATTAAAGTTAATATTATTCATTCTATATCATTTTAATAAAAATATATTATTTTATTTCACAAAATATTGCATTAAAATATTATTTAAATAAAAATTCAAATCAACGTACTATTTCAAATTAATTTCAAATCACAATCAAACAAACTCTAATATTTCAAAATCCATTTGCAAAAAATAATTGGATAGATAGATAGGAGTATAAAAAATAGGCGAATATGTTATTTTACTTTTTACATTATTTTTAATAAAAAATCAATAAAAATATATTAATTTATCTGATAAAATAATTTAAAACAGATAAAAACTAATTTATTCAAACAACATTACAATATGCAAAATACTTTACAATTTCTAGTAACTAACAAAAAAAAATCCTACAAATTTTAGAAGGGTAAATTTTTTTTTAGATCCGTAATTGGACCCCCTTATCATTTTAGTCTTGTAAGTGGAGCATGTCGCAAACTAGTTTCATAAGTGAAAATTTTTCGCAATTTTAATCCTTCGGCACCGGAGACGCCCGCGTGGCTCGCCGGAGGCCACATGTCCGTCAGGTCAATGACACCTGGCGGATACGTCGATTTTATTTTATTTTTTTAATTTTTTAATTTTTTAATTTTTTAATTTTTTTTTAATTTAATTTAATTTTCTTTTTTTAATTTTTTTATTTGGTCCAAAAAAAATAAAAATAAAAATAAAATAAAATTCACGTGTCCGCCAGGTATCGCTGACCTGGTGGGACACCTGGCGGACACGTGGCTTCCGATAAGTTACGCGGGCGTCTTCGACGTCGGAGGACTAAAACAATGAAAATTTTCTACTTATGGAATTAGTTTGCGACATGCTCTACTTACGGGATTAAAATGATAGGGGATCCAGTTACGAGACTAAAAACACATTTACCCATTTTAAAATATGAGTGTGTTTCTTTTTTATTTCTAATTTAAAAGAATTTCTAGCTTAAAAAATACTATATATTAAATATTATTTAAATAAAAAATTCAAAATTTTAAATTCAATTCAAATAAAGATAATACTAATATTTTTTTATTAAAAATAATATTTTTTCTTTTTTTTTTTTTAAAAAAAGACCAAAAAGTGATTGTAATACAATATTAATATCGAGGCCTTAAATAAACACGCTTTAAAGTTTGGTTGACACTGTACACGCACACTCACATTTCACTATCAAATTTTGTTGGTCGTTAATTGAAATTAATGCCATAAATAAATACTCCTCCGTCCCATATATTTTGAGTGTATTATTGTAGATATAGAAATTTAAATAAAGTATAATTAATAAATAATTAAAAAGTATATTAGTAGAAATAATTATTATTTAATAAAAATAATTATAAATAAAAATATAAATAAATAAATATTTTAATTAAAATTTAAAATGTAATTAAAGTGGGCCAGACAATTCAATGCAAATTCAAGACTTACGCAAAGTCACAAAAGTGGACAAATAATTCTAATTTTGTTTAATTTAAGTCTCTCACAGACATATAATAATAATAATAATAATAATAATAATAATAGTAATAATAATAAAAAAGAAGTGTGCTAGACGTCCAAATTGATGGGCAACTATTTTCATTGTGAAAAAACAGGATACTTAGAGAAAGACTGTTTGTTGTGTAAAAATAATAAGATAAATCAAAGTTTTCATTTCATCGAAATGTATCACAAAAGTGATTATGACATCAAAAATGATGAGTTGATTGTTGTCGCATACAAGACTAATCATATTGAGAGCTCAAATACATAGTTCATTGATATTGGAGTCATCTGTCATGTTTGTTTCGACAAGACAAGTTTCTAACATATAGTGAGACTGAAGGAATAAAGTTGTACAAAGGAAACCATGTGAACTGAAGTCAAAAGTGTGGGAAATATGGTGCTAAAGATGATCTCTAGAAAAAAAAAAAAAAAAACTAACTTTGAATGATGTTACGCACGTACCTGACATCCAGAGAAATCTCTTATCTGGTTAGCTACTTGTAAGAGATGACTTTAAACTAGTCATTGTAGCTAATAAATTTATTTTATCAAAAAATAAAATGTTATTAGCTAGAGGCTATCTTAAAAAGATAATGAATATCACACGTTGTTGAATGCAAAAAATGAATACTTAAAGAGATAATGAATGTCAAACGCAGACACCTAAACAAAAACACATACGGACGTACCGTGTCTCGATGCCAAGGTTAATACATAAAAAAGTAAGTAAAAACATTTTGTCTTGCAGAAGTCATAAAAAATTTTAGTTACCAACAATCACAATTACTTTAAAATGTGTGTAATTGTAGAAGGTCATGCATACTTGATAATAGTCCATCCCTATAATGCAACAATTCAATAAAGGTCTACATTTCAACTCTGCATGGAATAAAATAGTGTTAATATGTATATATTGTAATATATATATATCTAAATTTATGGTAATATATCAATGTGTATATATATGATGATGTAACCCTAATTTTAGTTAAGAAATCAAGTTATTCCGTTTATTCCAACATGGTATCAGAGCTTCGATTTTTTCCCAAAATAATACAAAAACATTGCCCGTCCATTCCTCCACCTTCTGGACACCTTTGATCGTCACCACCACCACCATCGGCGATCGGCGGCGCATGGAGGGCTCACACACCTGACAAAGTTTTCCGGCGAACGTCCCGCCGGTGCGTGGAGGCGCGTGCGGCGGTGGTTGCCGGAGTTTTTTGGACCGTCGTGTTCGGTTTTTAATTTTCTTTACGATGGTATTTTTAGATTTTCGGTTTGAGTATTTTTTCATAATCGTCTGATTTTTCTTGTTCCGGGTTCAATTCGGACTCGATTCCTTCTTATGTATGTGTTTCTGTCGATCTGATTTCGGTTTGAGATATTGCCTTTTTTGGTATGGAAATGATGGATATTCATGTTCTGATAAATATTATTCTGTCCGGGGATAATTATAGTTTGTGGGCGCAGTCAATGAAAAGTTTTCTAATAGGCAGGAAACTGTGGCGGATTGTTATTGGAGATATAATTGCTCTCATTGCTCTTATTTATATTGGAGAAGCTGCGCCTACAACTAAAACTGTTGAATCATATATTGAGAAATTGAAAGATTAGGACAGTAAGAATCATGAAATCCTTACATGGATGCGTAATACATCTACTCCGTTGATGCAGGTTCAACCTGCCCAATTTGAAACTGCTAGGGCAACTTAGGATTTCTTGGCAGTCTGCTTCCGTGCTACTGGTTTGGCACATTATTATCAGCTTTGGAGCACACACATGATCTAAAACAAGAACCGGGACAATCTGTCAATGACTTTCTTGCTCATGTGTAACCCATTTGGCATCGGTTGGATCAGGCTGATATCAGTCCTGATCATCTCTATCTTATTCAGGTTTTGATGGCTTTGCATCCAGAGTATGAGGCAGTTTGTGCCTCATTGTTACATCGGCACCCGCTTCCTACACTGGATACGGCTATTCATGAGATTCTTTTTGAAGAAACTCATCTTCACCTCATCAAGGCTCCTATACCTGACTCTACTCTTGCAATCATCGCCCGAATTCCTACTCAGAGCCGTCAACTCCGTTGCAAACGATTCCAGTCCTTTGATCACGACTTCGGTCACTGCCCCAAGGTAGAGTGCCATTACTTTCATGTTTTAGGCCATATTGTACAATAATGCACTACCAGGCCGTCCCGCTCTGGCAGCAGTAATTCTAAGCCTCGGCATGTTCGTGGACCTCCTCAGTCTAGTACTTCATTTTTCACAGCCTCTGTCACGCCTGCGCCTGCGCCTCCTACGATCCAAGACTTGGAGGCTTTTCTTAAACGAGTTCTATCTTCCAATACCGTCATATCTACCACCTCAGGTAACTCTCCTTGGTACTTTGATTCTACCTATAGTAATCATATGACCTCTGATATATGTCTTATAATCTCTAAATCCACCTCATTATCTCTACCCCTCTATCCTTACTGCAAATGGTACCCATACTGGACATGCATTCACCTCGTCATTATCTCTCCTTAACACTTATTGCATTTCCCAATTAAACTTAAATCTGATCTCAGTTGATCAAGGCCTCACAATGATTTTCTCTTCTTCTGGTGTGCAAGTTCAGGATGCGCAAACCGGGATAACCCTAGGGAAGGGCCGAAAGACGGGCTGCTTATTTGAGCTCGAGTCATTTCAGCTCCCTCGTCCCTCTATTTCTGCTGCCACCACCTCTCCACCATCCTCCCTTTAGTGGCATCAATGTCTCAGTCATGCGTCCTCAAATAAACTCAGGTCTTTGATTAGTCAGGGTCTTTTGGATTATGTTAGTTTTAAGTCTTTTAATTGTGTGGATTGTTCATTGGGGAAACAACATGTTTTGTCATTCCCTCATAGTACTTCTGTTGTGGATACACCATTTTCATTAGTTCAATTTGATATTTGGGGACCCTCACCCGCTGTCTCTGTGAATGGTTATCGTTATTTTGTGCTTTTTATCGATGACTATTCTAGTTTTACATGGATTTAATTCATGCGACAACGTTCTAAACTTTCCTCTATATATATAGACTTGGCTAAAATGATACATACCCAATTTTCTTCCACCATACAAACTTTCCGCACAGATAATGCTTTTGACTATATACAGATTCTTTCTTTCTTCGTTTCCTACATGATCAGGGTACTGTTGTCCAGCGTTCATGCCCATACACCTCTCCACAAAACAGTCGTGCCGAATGTAAACACCATTATATCCTCGATACAATCCACATCCTTCTCTTATCTGCCTCATGTCCGGATCGCTTTTGGGGGGAAGCCGCGCTTACTGCTGTCTACATTATAAATCGTCTTTCTTCCTCTGTCATGGGTAATGTTAGTCCATTTGAAAGATTATTTAATCGCGCTCTTGATTATAATCTTCTCCCGCCCTTTTGGTTGTGTCAGCTTTGTTCTCCTACCTCCTCATCAGCGCACTAAGTTAGAACCTCGCGCGCATCTGTGTTGCTTCATGGGATACGGGGTAGAGCATAAGGGTTATCATTGTTGGGATCTTATTTTCAATAGGTTACACATTTCTTGTCATGTCACCTTTTGGGAAAATACTAAATTTTCACCTTGTTCCATTTTTTAGTTCCCTTTGATCATTCATCTCCATTCTTTACCTTTTCCTATCCATCTCTATTCCCTTCCGACGATGCAGCACTGTCCCATGCTCCTGACGTTTTCCCGGTTGTGCCTCCTGAACCGACGCTGACCCTCGAGCCTGCTACAACTCCCGACTCTGATCCCTCACCACTACCAGAGCCTAACACTACCTCAACCTCGGACCCTCGGACCCTGATCCTGGCACTCGTCGTTCCACTCGGGTTAGTCATCTCCCTCCTCACTTACTCGATTATCATTGCTTCTCTGCCACCTTGTCCCACCATGACCCCAAGTCATTTCGTGTGGCGTATGCAGACCCGTTGTGGCGGCAGACTATGTCTAAGGAGTTACAGGCTTTGGATAAAACTCATACGTGGGATATGGTTGATCTTCCTCTAGGCAAGAAACCTATCGGCTGTAAGTGGGTATTCCAGATCAAAACACACTCTGATGGATTCATAAAGCGCTACAAAGCTCGTTTGGTAGCTAAAGGTTACAACCAGCAGTATGGTATCGACTATGAGGAGACCTTTGCTCCAATTGCTTGTCTCACCTCCGTCCGCTGTCTTATAGCTATAGCTGTCGCTCGTCAGTGGCCCTTACATCAGCTCGATGTCAACAATGCGTTATTGCATGGTGATCTATTCGAAGACATTTACATGTCTCATCCTCTTGGTTTTCCCACATCCTCCAAAGTGTGTAAACTTTGTCGTGCTTTGTACGGTTTGAAATAGGCACCCAGAGCTTGGTTTTCAAATTTTAGCTCTGTTCTGCTCTGCTCCAGCTTGGATTCACTTCTAGCTATCATGACTCTGTTTTATTCATTCGTCGCGGGTCTGCTGGTATTACTATTCTGTTACTTTATGTAGATGACATGATCATCACAAGCGATGATCAGTCCGGTATCTCTGAGCTACAAGATCGTTTCTACAACCACTTTGAAATGAAGAGCTTGGGGTCCCTTCGGTACTTTCTCGGTCTTGAGATCTCCAACACCTCTGACGGGTACTACCTCTCTCAATCAAAGTATGCCTCCGACCTTCTGTCTCGAGCAGGTCTCACTGACTTCAAGACCGCGCCTATACCTCTTGAATCTAACCGTCGCTTTACTTCGATGAATGGCACCCCTATTGACGATCCTACCTTATATCGTTAGGTGGTGGGAAGCCTGATATATTTGACTGTTACTTGGCCTGATATTGACTATGTTGTTCATATCGCCAGTCACTTTATGTCCGCTCCTCGGACGACTCATTATTCTGTTATTTTACGGATTCTTCGGTACGTCAAAGGCACTCTCCTCCATGGCCTTCATTATTCAGCTCGTTCATCTTTAGTTTTGATTGGGTATTATGATGCTGATTGGGGAGGTGATCCCACTGATCGCCGTTCGACCACTGGTTTTTGTTTCTTCCTTGGCGACTCGCTTATTTCTTGGCGCAGCAAGAAACAGATAGTTGTTCCTGGTTCAAGTCACAATAATAACCATGTTTATACAAAAGAACCCAGTGCAGAGTCCGAGTATAGAGCTCTTGCAGATACCACTGCCAAGCTTTTATGGCTTCGTTGGCTCCTAGCTGATCTCGGTGTGCCTCAATCCTCTGCTACTATTATTCATTGCAACAGTCGGAGCGCTATGAAGATTTCGACGAATGATATTTTTTATGAGCGTACGAAACACATTGAAATCGACTACCACCTTGTACATCACCACATTGCTCACACCAACGTCTCCTTGTCACCCACTTCTTTTGCGGATCAAGCCGCTGACGGCTTCACCAAGCCTCATTTTTTCGGCCGCTTTCAGTCGTTCATGAGCAAAATCTAGCCGGTTTCCACAACCCCACCTTGTGTTTGAGGGAGAATATTGATATATATATTGTAATATATATCTATACTTATGGTAATATATCAATGTGTATATATATGACAATGTAACCATAATTTTAGTTAAAAAATCAAGTTATTCTGTTTATTCCAACAAATGTAACATCAACATGAGCTGAATAATAAATTAAATATACAATGCATGAAATAGATTGCCAACAATAAGTATTAGCCAAACAACAACTACAACTATCCAAAATATACGGCTCACTCAATTGATCAACCGACTTCCCAAGTAACCGTTAATTCTAACAAAATCTACGGCTCACACAATTATTACTTCTTGCCAAAACGGATAAACTTGGCTAAGTCCATGATAACTCCAAATATGAGCATATTATATACTTAACAAAACTATGTATTACTTGAATTTCGGTATGAAAACCATCACAATATCTGATTTATGGCATACTTTATTGACCTATTCCGCTTGGCATAATCAAGAATTGGTTTGTTGAGATTATTAACGATTTTGGCCTTTTTAAGCGGTGATTGTGGTCCAGAAAAGCTAAGGCATGAGAAGCAAGCGATGGCCATGTCCGCTCAACAAGCGACGCTTTCATCGCTCATGCCAGCGATTCAGACACCTGCCGCAGCAAAGCAACAACAACTCACTGCAGATAATGCCTAAGTGTCCAACTCGCAGCGGAACAGCCATTCCACTACCAGCCAACACAAATGATTCCGCTTAGCTGCGCTAATGCCCTCCAGCCATCTAGGCAAGCGAAGAAGATCTGCGCCCCTACAAGCCAAAGAAAACGAAGCAAGCACCCTGGGAGTTATGGCCAGCAACTGCTTCAACGGAATAACCGCCATCAACTACCTAACTGTTCAGCGGTTGGAACTACTTCTTAACTGCTCGCAACTGCCACTTCAATTAGCTATAAATAGGGCCAGATGTTTATTTGTAAATATACTTCGAAAGGAGTATACAAGCACACTTTACGCAAATTCATAGCTGCCTTCTTGCCTTCCGAGAGCTCCAACCTTGTAAGGGAGTTTTCAGCAGGAATGGCCAGAAAAGTTGGAGATTTTTCTCCTCCCTTGGCCGCTACTTTACTGTTTCCTTAGTCTTAGTTTACCGCTTTGATTTACAGTTTTTGTAGCCATAAAACTTTAATGCTTTGATAGTGAGTAATGAAATATCACTTGTTTCATTGTCACTCCTTCCTCATTCTCACATTGATATAAATCTGAGTTATAAAGAACTCCAAATCGCTGAGAAAGGACATAGAAAAATTGATTATCCAAGCCTTGTTTTGCGTCACAAACAGATTCATGGTAGTTCAATGTAGGTAAGTACGCGGGAGCCTTGTCGACCTGCTTAATTACTAATTTGAATTCAATTTTGATTAAAAAGAGGTAATAGAAGGGTAAAGCCACTAATGAGACGAAATTTAGAATAATTAATGGAATATAGGCGGTGGTCTATTGGGTCACAAAAACTCCTAGTGACAGTAGGGTTTCTTTCTTATAATATTCTAATTATAGGCGTCATTGAAGCCTTGTTGTAACTCGCTTAAGGTCGAGTATCAACGATTTAAGTTATCTATGATTCTGTTTATATGATTACCTTACTTCCTCCTGCCGTCTTCGTATTACACATATATTTTTCGACTAAGCACCAACATCATTCGCTCATTTCATCCAAGATAATCTAGCCATTAAGGAACGCACAAACCAGACACAACGCCTCTTTATCACCCTCCTCAGCTCAATACATATATAAATATATAGTGCTCCTTCGCTCATGTTCCCTACCGCTCACCCACCGCTGGCACCACCTATGCTCATCATCCCACCGGTCATGTTCGCTTCCTTTACCGTTTTCTTTAGTTTTTCTAATTATTTCTAATTCAACAATTCAGACTCGCTCTTGAGCGGGTCTCTTTACCGTTTTACCACCGTTTTCACCAGATCAGTGCTCGATTTAACTTCATGACTTAAAATCCCTATGTTCGATCAGGAAAATCACCAGCTAAAGAGTATAAACAATTATGATAAACGATTCAGGGTCTACAACTACACACTTTTCTTTATATTTGATCGCTCACAATAGTTCATTACACCTTATTTTTTGACCAAAATTCCCTGTACTTGAATATATAAAATCGTGTATGTCAGTCGATGGCTATCATAATTTATCAATTGACTTGTCAATTAATTGCTAAGTTTAGTCAAATCCACGGCTTACACAATCAACTACTAAGTATAGTCAAATTCATGACTTACACCATTTATCAATCGACTTGCCAATCAACAGCTAAGTCTAGTCAAATCCACGGCTTACACAATTTACTACTAATCAACGAATAAGTCTAGCCAAATCTACGACTAATATAATTTACCAATCGACTTGCCAATCAACGGCTAAGTCTAGTCAAATTCACAGCTTATACAATTTATCAATTGACTTGTCAATCAACGGCTAAGTCTAGCCAAATCCACAGCTTATACAATTTACCAATCGACTTGCCAATCAGCGGCTAAGTCTAGCCAAATCCACGGCTTACACAATTTACCAATTAACTTTCCAATCAACGACTAAGTCTAGCCAAATCCACGGCTAATGTAATTTACCAATCGACTTGCCAATCAACGGTTAAGTCTAGCTAAATCCACGGATTATACAATTTATCAATCGACTTGCCAATCAATGGCTAAGTCTAGCAAAATCCACAGCTTATACAATTTACCAATCGACTTGCCAATCGACGGATAAGTCTAGCCAAATTCATGGCTTATAAAATTTATTAATCAACTTGTCAATTAACAGCTAAGTATAACCAAATCCACGACTATCACAATTTCTCTATCGAATTTCCAATCAATGACTAAGTCTAGCCAAATATACGGTTTACATAAATTACCAATCGACTTGCCAATCAACGACTAAGTCTAGCCAAATCCATCGCTTATACAATTTACCAATCAATTTTTCAATCAACGGCTAAGTCTAGCCAAATCCACGACTTATACAATTTATCAATTGATTTACCAATCAACGGCTAAGTTTAACCAAATCCACGGCTATCACAATTTATTAATCACTTGTCAATCAATTGCTAAATCTAGTCATATTTACGGCTTACATAATTTAGCAATAATTATTTGCCCGCCAAAAATATCAATAACCTAACACCTAATTTATCATATCAATTATATTTATCGATTAGTATTATCATATTACAAAAAATTCCCCATATATCATGAAGACATAATCATAACGGTCCATTCATTTCAAGCATGCATAATTTAACCCCTTACCTTAACTGTAGACTTATCTTGCCTAATAGAAATATTGCACAACCCGAAGCCGACCAGGACCTCTGAACAATCGTAAACTACAAAGTTAAACCAAAATTAAGACATGAACATCAAACAAAAATAATGCACAAAGCTTGGTAGCTCGAACAAAAAATTACACACGGCTCCCAAATGATCCCAACTCAATACAAAAACTATCAAAATCATTCAGAAGGCTTTAGAATACCTTTATAAATTATTTTCAAGTTAAAAGTCATTCAAACAAGCTGAAAAATCAGGGCGCGGGTCTAACGACGTCGATTTTACAATTTCAAAATTTCAAATCGTATAATTAATGTAATTGCAATAATATGTGAAAAACCTCATCAATTAACACTCCCACATGCTAAATTAAGTTTGAAACCCTAATTTAGAAATTACTTTAGGAAAAATTGCACTTACACTCAATTTCCGAAAATTGATATCAAATTCAATTGGTAAACGGAAAAAGATGTTCAAATACACCATTTACAAACCAAAAGCAATCCAAACTTGACATGGAATCAAAATATCCATTCCCAAATTGAAATTACACTATTGAAAGAGGAACAAAGCTCGGATGATACTTTAGAATGAAAAGAAGATCCAAAAATATGAATTACTTGAAAGGTTTACATATTAATATACTTGGAAAATAATGAAGTGATTACCTAACCTCCTATGAATCTTATCCATTGTTGGATGATGAAGTGGAGGAGAAATGAGGGTTGAAGGTGTTTTTAATCCGTCAAAATATACAAAATACATTTTATATATAATTTGACTGTACAGTGACCGTACGACCTAGACATTAACACACAGTTTGAGTTGTAACTCACTCGTTCGACCTCTGATTGATTTCTCGTTTGGGGAAATGGATAGCTAACTCAGATTACTATCTATCATTAAATTTCATATCAATTGGATCTATAAAATATTTATGGTAAAGTTTGGAAGTTAACAATTGTGACATGAACTCTTAACATAAAATTTTTTACTAAATTGAACATATATTTTTTGTCCAACATTCAATAGACTCTCTGTCGGTGGCATTGAAAGTATAACTTGAAGGCATATCTAATGAGATCAAATTAACTCAAAATAAATAAAAACTAAAAAATATGTATCTGATCAACATGAACATATCGAAAAGGGTTAAAACAATCAAATTCATTAAACATCTAATGAGATGATTTTGTTATAGGTCGGGATTACACTTGTTGATAAGTTCAGAGTTACTTCAAAACTTGTGGGGGGAGGCAATACTTTTTGTGAATTATATTTCTAACAAAATTCACTTAAGGGAAAGGATATTACTTCTTACAAATCATGGAAAGGCAAGAAACCCACATAAAAATATTTTAAAGTGTGGAGGTATCTGAAAAAAGTGGAAGTTCCGTCTTCAAAATAAGTTGTTGTTAGGCCTAAGATGGTAGATTAAATCTTTATTTGATAAGCTCAAAATAGTAATACATATCGCTTCATAGTTCACAAATCAGACATATCTGAGATGATTGAAGGAACTATTATAGAATCAAGGATTACAATATTCTTTGATAATATCAATCCTTATAATGAAAGAATCTAGCTAAACCCAAAACCCGTAGATATAAACAACAATGAGGTAAAAAATAGGCAAATGGCTAATATTCCTGATCAAGAGGTTTTAGAATCTTGACGTAGCAAAATGACAAGAATTGAGAAAATTTCTGGTCTAGACTTTGTTACACACATAATGATCCATCATCGATTAAGGAAGCATTGTCGAGTTCTTATGCTTCTTTCTGGAATGAAACAATAGGCAAAAAAATCGACTCAATAATGCAGAATAATACTTGGTGGTTATCTGATCTATCTGAAGATTGTAAATATTGAGAGTGTAAATGGGTCTTGAAAAGAAAATTCAAGATTGATAGGTCTATAGTTAGATATAAAGTTTGTATTTTAGTGAAAGACTATAGACAAATTAAAGGATTTTATTTCTTCAATACTTTTTACTAGTGACCAGGATAACATCTATCCGAGTGTTTCTCTTGATTGCATTTTTGGGCAATTTTGAGATTCACCAAATGGATGTGAAGACCTCATTCCTGAATGATGAATTAAAATAAAAACACTATATGTAGAACAACCGAAAGAAATTGTTGTTCAAGGCCAATAAAATAGGGTGTATAAACTGATAAATTCCCTTTATGGACTAAAACAAACACTTTTACAATGACATTTAAGCTTTGATAATGTTTTGTTATCAAATGGTTTTCAAAATCAATGAATGTGACAAGTGTGTCTACATTAAAGAAACACCTTTCAAATTTGTAGTAGTTTTTTTTTTATATATGTAGACGA